AAAACATTTTATATTTTATTATGTTGGGGACATTCCTAGTTATATACACATGTGTATTCCTTCTATCTGTGAAACATTCTATTTCCTCTATAATTTTACAGAAGTAACCTCTCTATTTTCCTTTCAAAGAAAAATATATAGAATCTCATTTAGTCTACGTATTTGGCTGTGACAAAATCATAAGCAAGATGTGATAAAACTTTTGTATATTGCTAAGCTTTTGGAATGGCTAATAAAAAAATAAAAAATGAGAATTTATATAAGGTTGCTTTAAGCTTCAGTTAGTGGTTTGGCAAAGAAAGAGAGAAGGCAAGTTATAAAAAAGATCAGAAGTCCAGCGTGGGTGTGAATCGGGTCCATATACTCAAAGGTGTTAGAAATTATTTTCACCTCCAACTGGTAATAGTAAAATGAAAAAAGACAACTAAATTAGGTTGACCTCTGTTGTAAACAGAAGTGGACTGCCCTTTTCCATTTCCAGACAAATTAATATCATCAGAATCTTTAAGGTACAGGAGTTATACAATAGGCCAGATTTTGTGGCCTGCATCCTATGCAAATTTATGGTCCCTTTTCATTCCATTGACCTCTTATCTGTCTTCACAACTTTCCGTCTTTAAGATCTGTGAGTACTTACATCAGCTTCTATGCCATTCTGCTTACACGACCACTTTGAAGACTCATGGACCAGAATTAATTCAGTGAATCAAACATGCTCAGCCACTATTGATAAAAGAATAACTCCTACATATTGCTTCCAGGAACCTGGATAATTGGCCTGCACAGAAGTAATTCAACTATGTGAAACAGCATACCTCCTCACTTGCCCATCTGAGGGTAAGTTCCTAAAATGTGAGTAGAAGTATTTTATTCCCTAAACCAGAGAGATTAGAAGTACTGGGAGAGACTGCCACCATCTGATGAGTCCGAGCTTTGAGCTAATTGGACAGGGCTCTGTACTATGACTTCAAGTGTCACAGGTATATTCCACAATTCTGAAATGTGTCTGTAGTTTGGAGATAGATAGGGACAAAAAAAGTAATGTTGGCGTCTGTGACACCATCTGAGAAGACTCTGAAGACTAGCAGAATCAATGCTTATAGAATCAGTTTCCATTTCTATGATTTCTATGTGATAAATACTGGATCATGTTCCTCATTCACAAATACTTACATTGGCTTTGGGAGAAGATATTCAAAAGATCTCAGAGCTCTATTCTGATACTGACCTAAATTGATACCCCAAAATTCAAAGCCACATGATTATATTTCCATCCATGCTTTTCAAATTCTGAGAGAAAATATGAGGAGAGTCCCACTTTTCCTTACCATCCCTAATTTTTCTCTGAATAGGTATCAGAATCAGTGGTGACTACGGGATTTACCAGCCTCATGGGATCCAGCAACATGTCGTATCTGAATCCACAGACAGTGACCCTGATTGGAATTCCTGGACTAGAGCATGTGCAGTTTTGGATTGGGTTTCCCTTCCTTGGTGTGTGCCTGGTGGCTCTGTTGGGGAACATCTTCTTGTTAATTATTATCAGTACAGAACGCAGTCTACACCAACCCATGTACATCTTTTTGGCAGTGCTGGCAGCCACTGACCTAGGTCTCTGTGTAGCTATTGCTCCAAAGATGTTGGCCATCTTCTGGTTTGGTGCTTCCTCCATGGCTTTTGATGCTTGCCTCACCCAACTCTTCTTCATCCATGCCTTGCAAGGTGTGGAATCTGGTACCCTGTTGGCCATGGCCTTTGACCGCTACATTGCCATCTGTGATCCTTTGAGACACACATCCATCCTCACACCTTTCTTTCTAGTTTGGGTGGTGCTGATTTCATCCATGCCTTGCAAGGTGTGGAATCTGGTACCCTGTTGGCCATGGCCTTTGACCGCTACGTTGCCATCTGTGATCCTTTGAGACACACATCCATCCTCACACCTTTCTTTCTAGTTTGGGTGGTGCTGATGGTGGCATGCCGGGCAACAGTGCTTGTTGGGGTTTTACCTATTCTACTCAAACGACTGCAAC